AGTGGCAGGGGCAGTAGCAGTAGCAGTAGCGTGGTAGTCGTAGTCGTAGTAGTCGTAGTAGTCATCATAGTAGTAGTAGTAGTAGTAGTAGTAGTTGTTGTTGTTGTAGCAGCAGCAGCAGCAGCAGTAATAGTGGTAGTAGCAGCAACAGTCGGAATAGCAGCAGCACCAGCAGCAGCAGCAGCAGAAGAACTGGACGAGGCTTAGGTGTCGTCGTCTTGGCAGCAATTCAATTCTTCGCCATGGTTGTGCGGATGGCAGTCATCGCTGTGGTGGTGGCAGTGGTGCGGCAGCGGTAGTGACAGCCGAAGTGCGAACAGTAGTCGCAGCAGCTGTGGTTCTCATGCACTACTTTTCGGTGACTATTGATTAGTGATAATGTCATCTCTACTTTTGTTACCATCATTTCATCAGGGCCATCCACGTGACAATCAACCTACATTCGTGGAAACGCACCATCCGTACTATCGATAGCAACGGCATCAACCAAGAGAATACAAGCGTGAACTTGACAGCCACCTCTGGATGATTGCAGAAGGAAGCCATGACTCAGCTGAGGGAACCTCTGCAGTTTGGTTTGGCTGCGAGACGCACGGCTGACACAGCCAGGGCAAGCCTTCCACAGCGCCACGAGGGTTGGCATGAGCTCTCCCTGGCACGATCTCGGGCAGAAAGCGTTGCAGAAAGACGCTGCGAGAGAGAACACAAGTGCAGTCAGACACTGTCACGAAGCCACCTGTCCAAGATCAGCCTTCCCATCAAGCTGCACCTGGGCAGGTGAGAGAAGCCTCTGACGAACGCGGAGCGCTACTGCCTCGTCAGTTTGCCAAGACATTTTCAGCGCCACCACGGCCCGAGATGGCCCGAGCAATCGCTTCTGCGAGGTCCCGGCCAGCACGCACTCGTCGCCTGCGAAAACGAACTGGAGCGTGCTTCCTCCACCCGCCTGCAACTGCGCATAGACTCTGAAGTCTTAATCTTTCAGCAGCACTCCGCGTACAGATCCAGCGTTGGCCCGCTCCTTCCTCACTACGATCTCCACCTTGTTCGGCAGGATCACCTCGGAGGCTCGGCGCTGCTCGGCAACCCAGCCACGAAGGAACGACTCCGGCTGACCTCAGCCACGGCCTCGCCAGCCGAAGCCGCCAATGCCTGCCCCGGCCAAGAGGATAAAAGCCCGAGGAGTGCCCAAGCTGCGGAACTAAGAAAGTAATCACGATGTACGACATCTGTCGACATGTCCTCAACATAATCTTGGCATTTCCCGGGTCAATCCTTCGACCGCACAGCAACCTGGGCTACTGCTTCTGCTCTTGCACATCCTTCGGTTCAACGGTTTGGGATCTGCTTCAAGCCCGAGTCAAGATGCTCCTCAGCACCTGAAACGGACCGAGACACTCCACACCCCCCGCAGCCTCACACTATCTGATCGTTCAACCCGAAGAATGAAGAGCATCTTGTTACAACTTCCGGCACATCAGGTCGCCTTGGAGAGGGCCTTCGTCTCCTTGCCACGAATCCTCGCCGTGAGGGCGCTGAGGACTTGAGCACAACCGCCCACACGCTCGCTCCTCACTTCGCCCTTGAAGGCAACCGTGGAGGATTTCTTGAACATGGCTTGGAACGGCCTGGCATAAATCACAGGATCGGGACGGGTCCTGTCTCTCTCTCTCTCTCTCTCTCTGACCGTGGCTGCGGCCCGGACCTCCACCGGGCTCATGGCTGGGACGGAGATGCAAGCATGTGACCGCAGCCTGTGTCCCTAGACAGCGACCGTCCTTCAGAGTGTGTCTGCGTGGGTGTGCGCACGCCAGCGTCTGCAACCCTCGAAAGTAGAGTTGGTAGTGAGTAGAGGTGATGGTGATGGTGAGGCAGATACACGTCTCATTCGCAAAGCCACACTGGCTGCGACCGATCGGAGTCAATGCTGAAGTCGTCACTTTGAGTGCCCAAAGTTGCCGGGTGAAGCGCTCGTTGTGCCGGGGCACAGAACAGCCCTACTTCTTTCCTCTTGGACCGTTGCTCTTGGCTACTGCACTCACAGGACCGACTCTGCCGCGATGTGCCGCTCGGCTGCTTCGGTCCAAGCTTCGCTCAGATCTGGGTCATGACCTGGAAGTGAGAGTCCCCGGAACAAGGGAACTGTGAACTGCAAAGACTTTCGGGCAGTCGCACCGGCTCATCGCTCGAACTCTGACTGGCTGCATCGCTTAAGCTTTCAAGGAAACTCGGCTAGAAAAGGCTAGCGGCTACTTGTAGCATGCTGCAGTGAGTCTTCAACCTCCATGCGAAACGACTCCAGGTCGAGGTTCCTGCAGCCCCATGCCAACATCTGCTGCAACTACAACAGGACCCACACACACACACACACACACACACAGAGAGAGAGACAGAGACGGAGAAATCCCATTCCTCAAACAGGTCCCTGCAGAGCACTGAGTGGCTCTCCTAGCACAGGTCGCCAGAAACAAAACAACCACAGCATGCCGCGACGTAGCCGCACCTGTTCGAGTGAGCTCCATTGACGGCTGCCAAGCAAAGGGGCAGTACAGGACGATCTCCAGGAGCGGAACCATGCTACCTCGGGCATGGTTCAAAACTGCTGCAACTCGCGACATCCGCTTTTGCTAATGGAATCTTTCCAAGAAAGTCAGTTGCTGGCCGTGCTTCTGCTGCGAGGCTTACTTCCACCGTCGAGTGCCTTGCCAGAGGATGCATGCGTGCACGTGCACGTGCATGCGCATGTGCAAGTGCATGCACGGTCATGGGACCCGTCGTGGCGGCTTTCTTCACATTCATTCACCTTCCATCTCCTTTTCGAGCTGCCCAATTCCACATCTGGCGCCGGGAGGCAGACACCTCATTTTGTTGTGTAGGCCCTTCTTCCTGTCCGGCATGCGTGGCACCAAACTATTCACTTCATTTTCGCTGCCACCCTCAGGCAAAATGATCTCCTCCCAAGCATGGTCGGATCATCTTCATTCGGGCCGGGATCCAAGATCCGGGCCCGAATCAAAACTGATTGATTCGGGTTGGTGCAGGATCCAAGCTTGCCCCCGCAAGACCCCTGGGCTTGGATCGTGGAAGCCGCTCCAGAACACAATGGTTCCTGCATGATTCGGACGATTCGGGGCTGGTTTGGAGAGAACTCCAAAGACCTGAATCTCGTAGATCTTCGGGTGCAGGGTACCAGGGTACAGTACCACATGTAAATTTCTATGTATATGGCAGGCAGTCATAGCTGCTCGATATGACACTGCAGGCTGCGGGGGAGCAACTCCGCATGTCTCTAGAATTGTGGAAAACTTACAAGGGTGACTTTTCGGAGGGGCATGCGATAGGATGATGTTTATGTATACTTAGATCTATGATCTGTTCCAATTTGTTTATACCTGAAATATACAAAAACCTAGACAGATAGACAGATGGATAGATATAGAGCTGGATACGGACATAGTCATTGCATACAACCCCGTCAGCTACCCTAGACATGTGTGGGTACATGCGACATGGCATATTCATCTCGTCTGTGAGACCTGAACGTTCGGCTTGACCTTGCTGTATCTGTGTCAGTCGATTCGCTTTCGGTCATTCTTTCTGACCGTGAACGAGTGCATCTGCGCTCGAGTCGGCGGTCGGCGATGTACAAATAATACAAATGCCCCAAGCCGCTCCAGCCTTCTCTTCTTGAATCGGCAAAGTGTTGCAGCGAGGTACGGACAGACCTGGATCAAAACGTCGTGATGTGATGTCTGCTGCCCCATAGCTTGTCTGCTTAGTGCGGAGCCACCAGCAGCAAGTACACTGCCAGCAGCAAAAAGTCCTGTGCCTGCAACCGACGCGATATAACTCACCGGCAAGATCTCAGGGATCTGAGCAGTCAATATTGGAGGAATCAGTTGCGTAGTAGCCAGAGATGCAGTTCGCCAGAAAGAAACAAAACCGACAACGTTCGCAAGTATCCCGGAACGAAACCACAAAGAGGAGGTTGTGACATTCTCCCGCAAGGCTGTTGAGTCGCTTCCGGAGCTTTGCCTTGCAACCGTAAACTTCATTTGCAGCGCAACCCAAAGCGTGGTCTAGTGTAGCCCCCTATGTATCCCTCTCTGCTTGTGTTGCATTGCCAAAGCGAGTCGTGAAACACACAGCTGCCGCTGCCTTCAGCGAAGACAACATGACGTTGTTGAAAACTATTGCCTCAGCCGCAACTCTTCAAACACGAGCGCCTCAAACGTGGAAGGTTGCAAGCAAGACAGAAGCCCAAAGCCCCCACCAAACTACAGCAAGACGTCGACCTGAATCAGTGCCTTGTTATGTTGAGAACCATGGGACTTTTCTCTTGCAGACGGCTTGCGGGTGGAGCCAGGCTTAGTGCTGTTGCGGAGGCTTCTTGCCGAGCAAGGCGCACAGCATGGAATCCAGGGTACATATGGGACCCGGTAGAAAGCCTGGAACAAGACGAGCTCGGATACTGGACTCAACTGATGCTCCCAGCCTCTTCACCCTGCCCTCCATCCTAGCATGAAGACTCGAAGCCAAGTCCAGACACTCACAGTTTGAATCACACCGCACCACGCGTCAAGATGCTCCTGACTAGCCCCCAACTGCCGGGCAAGTAGGACCTCCAAGAACATTTAGGGCCTAGAGCTTTCTCTCTGAGACAGAACTCTCTGGTTCCGCTTCTTCCTTGGGCCGTGACGAGGGCTAGCAAGGTCACAATGGAACAGGCGAGCGAAGCTATTCGAGACCATGCCAGCAGTCCTTGCCCACCATGCCTGAGGCATGTGCTCGGTTCCCTTGACCTTGCATTGTTGCTTCTCCGAGGGCATCGCTGCAGCAGCACGGCTGCAAGGAACGAGAACAGGTTGAAGGCAACCAGAGCCACCTCGAAAGACACCCAGGACAGTATCGACGCAAGAGATTCCTGGCCGCGCGGTTTTTTTGCACCTGCGGAGAGAGCCTAGTCTTGCTCCTCTAGGTTCAAATTTTGGCGGTCCAGATGCGAGAGGCGTTTCTTCCTTGCTTGCCAGTTCCAGGGCCCTCACCCCCAGATGACGGACAGCGACCCGCCCTCCTCTCATAACGATGAGCGAGCAGTTCACTAGGTTGAAAGCCACCTGCAGTCGGACAATGACGCCCCTCGTTTGCACGTCTCACATCAAGCAATGAGCCGAGGTCGCAGCGCAAACACCGCCGGAGATGGCATTGGCCAAGGTGCTAAAGGGAAGCAGCGCCCCGCAGGCTACGAGGAGCAAGCCGGTCCTCCCCGCCAAAAGCATTCTGCCATACTTCCGGAAGGATCGAACTCCCTGAGCGAAGCGCCACAGTGTTGCAAACCAGGGGGTGCCGTGCTCGTCCAGGTCCCGGAACCTGCTCTCTGACGGGCTCAACTGGCCCTCTCCGCAGTGTCCGACACTCTATCACAGCCTTCTCGGAAGAAGGTCATGCATTGATAAGGCGTAGAATACCCGCGGCTGCGCTAAGAAGCACCTGCAAGCAAGACCAATGGCGATTAGGCCGAAAACACCGCAGCAGCAATAGCAGCCAGACACCATAACCCAACCAGGTTCCGGGCATATATGTGACGACGAAAAGGACGATCAGCTCTCCAATGCTCACCATGTGGGAGAGAAACGTCCACCCCCTGCCATGTAAGAAAGCAGTCACGACTGGCTTCGATACCCAAGGCAGCTTCGAAGAAGCCTGCATATTTCAGCATGCTTTCTTTGGTTTGCCGGTCAGACACCATCGACCCTCAGTGTTCCACCGCTCCAGGGTCGTTGATACTTGCACGGCTGTTTGCCCTAGGCGTCATTTCCCGCCTCTGACGGAAAGCCACTTCGAAGCCCGAATTGGCATCGATGTCGCTGCATGGCAAGAAGCCTGGCGATGGCAAGGCCAATTCGATTCCAGGGTTTAGGGTTTGGGGTTTGGGGTTTAGGGAATAGGGTTTAGGGTTGATGCTCGACTGGTTGCATGACTCGGCTGAATCACCAACAGCACGTTGACAAGGACATATGTGATACACCTCTAGAACTGTCCCGGAGACCTCAAGTTTGTGTTGCCACGTCTCGTCTTTAGTGCTGCTACAAACTTAAAGCAAGATCCTAAACCCTAAACCCCTAACCCCAAACACGGAACTCTAGGAGCAGAAGTTCGAAGTTTAGGGCCTGCACAAATCGTTCCCGACCTCAAAACATCTCATCCTGAATCCTAGAGGCTGAAAACGGAAACTGTTGAAACCCTAAGATCACAAGACCTCTAAGCCCCATTTTAATTTGCAATGATACTTACGACCTGCTTGACTTGCGACACACCCAAACCCCCAAAACCCTAAATCACAAAACCCTGCACTTTCCTAGGCCACAAAACCCTCAACTTTGACATGGGGCCTCGCTAAACCCTAAATCCCAAAGCCGTGAACCCCTAAACCCGGAAAACCCTTAAGGCCCTGGCCCACCAGAGCCACGGAACCCAAGGCCGGCAGCAGCGTAGCAATGAACACGGTCCCGAGCACAGCTCGAGGAACCGACTTCTGAGGCTCCACAGCCTCCATTAAAGGAAACTATAGGTGGGGAGCTTAGGGTATGTAGGGCTTCTATAAGGCTTCTATAAGGTATATAGACCTTCTATAAGGCTCCTATAACCTCATAATCATAAGCCCTAGAATGATAGACGCGGCATGACTGCTATCTTTGCGCTCGTATCCCCATAGTTCGTGCCATTACACTTGGTGTGCTTGGGACTTTGGTTACATATTCATGATATCTATTCATGTAATTTGCGTTGCTAGCTAGCTGATGAAAAAGCTAGTTAATCAAAAAGAAATCAGCTGGTAGTTTAGTTGATTAGCTTGTTTGTTTGTTACTGAATTAAATTAGCTAGTTGGTAGTTAGCTAGCTAGCTAGCTAGCTAGCTAGCTAGCTAGTCTCTTTGCTTGTCAGTGAGATAGTGAGCTAGCTAGCTAGTCAGTCAATTAAATGTGTATGTAGCGTCTCTATTCACAACACACTTGCTCGCTGGCCTTGTTCATGCTGTGTTGTGTAGTACCTGCTCTCTATTCTCAGCTTTATGATTAGCAGCACTAGTAGTGCAGCAAAAGCAGCAGCAATAGTAACAGCTGCTGCTGTTGTAGCTGCAGTCGTAGGAGGTAGTAGTCAACCTCGTATCGTAGTAGTCGTTGTAGTGGTAGCAGTCGTAGCAGCAGGAGTAGTCGTAGTAGTAGTAGTAGTAGTAGTAGTAGTAGTAGCAGTCGTAGCAGCAGGAGGACGAGGAGTAGTAGTAGTAGTAGTAGTAGTCGTAGTCGTAGTCGTAGTCGTAGTCGTAGTCGTAGTCGTAGTCGTAGTCGTAGTCGTAGTCGTAGTGGTAGTAGTAGTGGTAGTGGTAGTGGTAGGGGTAGGGGTAGGGGTAGTGGTAGTGGTAGTGGTA